CTCTCCGGTGGCTGCAGCTCCTACTATGCAGCAGCCCACTGGTGCCGAGAGCTCCACGGTCACGAAAGCCTTCAAGTACCAGTGAGAGCTCTGCGAGCGGGTTGATTTGTGGTCTCTGTCCGTGGTTCGCGTGGGTCTCTTGTGGTTGGGGCCTGCTCCCTTTAAGGCCCCTCGGTGCGTTTAGTTGGGATAATTTCGAGACGAAATTGAACTGAAGGACCCACGGAGAACGGCGGAAGTTACCCATGTCTCACTGTCACATCTATCCTTGCGTAGTATGACCGAATCTGAGAGTCAAAATTGGGGACTCCCTTTTGTCTCTTGAAGAGAACGTTGCATTGTCGTAAGAAGACTGAACGGGACCACCCATTAACACTCACGTTCGAGCCTCCGGCTGTTCTGGAGAGATTCCCACTCCGCAATCTCATTTCTTAGGCCACCTTCCTCGCCCGGCGACTTCCCCAAAAGTCTGCGGAAGACACCGTGGTGGCCTTCGTCATGCTCATAGGAAGCCTAAGACCCCGAGAGCTCTGGACCCTGAAGCTCGACAAAGACTCTCTGGATTTGCCTGCGAGGTCTGGGTGGACGAGATGACGAGGCCCCGACTGAGAGTGTGAAATGCTGGTTCTTGGGTTTAGGGTTTAGGGTTGTCAATGGGGAAGTTCTTTGGCTGTGACAGGAATACGGACTGCTAGCTGTGAGGGGTTTCAAGTAGTACCCATAGGCCCCATAGTAGTTCCTTTTTGGGGTTCATACTTAGAATCCTAAAAGGTAATCCCAAAAAGGAACTACTATGGGGCCTACGGGTAGAGCAAATTCAGGATGATGGAGGACGACGATTACGGTGAGCCGGGTCATGGAAGGGCAGCACGCGATGAGGCGCGCGGGATTCGGCATCGGCGGGTTTAGGGTTTAGGGTTTTCAAGCCACGTTTCTGGGCCAAGTACGTACACAGCAGCTGGCTTTCACTCACTTGGCCCACGGATGTGAAGCTGAATGTCAAGCTAAAGGCTGACAGACGAAGTTGACAGGAGTTCAGGATGTTTTTTGCAGTCAGGTATGCTTGGTCGGTGCAATGCCATCCGTAGATGTGTAAGCAAGCAATCGGAGTGCAGCTCATACTGTGCTTGTAGCAGCAGCAGACTCAAAGCAGCACCAGAGTGTTGTTTCTTGCCTGCAGGTGATGGCACACGGAATGTGGCAAGATGCGCAGTCGTGGGGCCCCGTCCCAAGTATCAGCAGGGTACTAAAAGACAGTTGGTTCGTGCGTGCACGCGCGAGTGTGTGTGTGTGTGTGTGTCTGTCTGTCTGCCTGCCTGCCTGCCTGCCTGCCTGCCTGCCTGCCTGCCTGCCTGCCTGCCTGCCTGCCTGCCTGCCTGTCTGTCCATGTGTCCATGCATCTGATGTGAAGGCGGGTGTCGATTTTTGTTTTGGTGATGTGAATGCTTGAAGCAGCTATTGTTGACACATGTTGACACCATCAACCCACTACGCAGCGGCACGATTCTCGGAATAATTCTTCTACGCACTGGGACTGACTGCCTCTTGGCCTCTAAAAGCGATGCCACACGAAAGAAACACCAGATACTCCCAGGCATACTTGTAGCAATTCGGGCCAAAGCCCCAACGCGAAGGCCACACAGGACTCTACGATGCGCCCTGGTATGGCCAGGTCGGCCGGAGCAGACGACAGAAGCATTGCGTTCAGGATGATATTCGGAGAAGTACGACTGTGGTAGCGGTACGCGTTAGGCGATCCAATGTCGACAGATCAATCATTGGCACTGGTCTCTGAAGAGCGCGACCCATGAAAGCAGCCGCAGTGGTATGTAGCCGCAGCACCTAAAGGAACTGCAGCCGCCATTAACGGCAACAGTGGCAAAGCAAACGTGGCTCACTCGCAGACCCATTAAACCATTCAAGACAGTCGTTTAGCCCCTCATCATTTCAGCCCTATCACCTGGACCGAGCCCCTAAACCCTAAACCTTTAACCCTTAAATAAACCCAAAACACGAGCAGCAATCTCTAAACCCTCAGCTGCCTGTAAAGGAGCTCTTTGCAGGAGCCCTCTTCTGATATCTAAGGCCCCTGTACTACTATGGGGGCCTTACTAATTAGAACAGGGTTCTGGGGCCCATTGTACTATACAAAAACAGTAAGGAACACCAAAATAGTACCGGTAATTATTTCGGCCCCTACATTACCCCTGGTAGAGTAGAGCCATTAAAAGGAACCCTGGCCCTAAACCCTACACCCTGAAGCCCTAAACCCTAAACCCTCGCAGGAATGGTCCGGAGGAATGGGCTTCCATTCGGGCATGCAAGCGGCCGACGGCTCAGGACGTCAGGTGCAAAGAAGGAGCAACAAGAGTATTCTAGGGGTCGGAACAATACTTATTGCATATTCTTCTAGTATCCCTTTTAGTCCCTTATATATATATATATGTGTGCGTGTGTGTCTATATATATATATAGATAGATTTAGATCCAGACACATATGAATATACTGTAGTATGGGCAGGTCGCATTGCTAAAGCTGTTAAAACCACCTAGTCATAAGCCGTAGTCTCAGCGTGGTAGCATTGCCGAAAATGCTATGTTACCCAGAAGCACCATAAGAGAAGCAAGACGAGTCCTTCTCGGTGTTTGTGAGCTCTGCAGTGGGAAAGAGCCTTGCCCCGTATTATGGGGGCCTTAGTAACTAGAATAGGGCTTTAGGTTGGGGGTATGTTATATTAGTATACTTACAATAGGGAGCCCCCCAAAATAGTATTGGTGATTATTGAGGCCCTCATCTTATTCGTTATCCCGACTCCTCAAGTCATGGAAGATTCCCAGGGGCAAGTCGGACTTGTAGTAGTCGCTGGCCTCAAGACATGCAATCATCAGTCTTCTATTTCTGTGCTGCGTATCGGAGACGTGGCAGCAGCATGAAGACATGTGGGCAGTTTCTTAAATTAGGGCACCTTCTGGGGTCCCCAATATAGTACGGCACCCTTATAAAAGGGACCCTAGAAGGGACCATAATATAGAGAACTACCCATGTGTTCAGGCAGAGGATGAGATGGCGTCTTCGTCGTACATTGCTTTGGATCCGCAGGCGGACGCACGCTCAGCTTACCCATGAACCTGCTTCTGCGATGTGTAGGAGACGCTGTTCACGCTGATCATAAACCCTAAACCTTAAAACCCTAAACCCTGAACCCTAAACCTTAAAATCATAAACCCTAAACCTTAAAACCCTAAACCCTTGAGCATCAGCTCCAATCCAGGCTCCGTATCACCCCTGGCAGCCGGCGGAACCTTCAGCAGCAGCCCTAAACAACACGTGCTTTGACGTTTGGGCATGGTGTGGGCTCTTGCCATCGGTGTTGGGTTTCGTGCATTGTGATCATAACAGGAAAGACTTAAAGAATACCTTTACTTATTATCCCCTCTAGTGAAACCCGAATCAGGCTGTGAATGCTGAGCATTTACTTTCGTTTTGTGGAAAGTTCCGCGGTTGTAGACGAACGGCTAGGAAGGCACGCGGCTCCTGCCTGCAGTGTCCTATCATTTGGGTTGTGGCTTCTTCTAAAGGAACAGATAGATGTTACCACAATATGGCATGGCCTCATCTAGTCACGACCGGCACTCCCAGCGGGTGTACGTCTCACCCTCTCACGTGCCCGCATCTGTAGCTGGCCAGCTCATACGGGTGCAGAAACTAGTTGTTTGGGCAAATGTAGATGTAATACATACATATGTGTGTATATATATATGTTATATATATATATATATCTACCTTTATGTATAATACATATCACAAACGGTAATGTTCCATGATGCAAATTTGCCTCCTGTTCGCGGGACGCCCTTGCTGACTCTGCCCTCTCCTGTCTCCTGGCTCTCCCCAGCCTTTTTCCCGACTCTGACCCGAACCCTAAACCCTAAACCCTAAACCCTAAACCCTAAACCCTAAACCCTAAACCCTAAACCAAAACCCTAAACCCCTAAACCCTAAACTCTAAACCGTTTCCGACCCAGGGTCCCTGACCCCTTAAATCCTAAACCCCAGCCCGTATACTGCCCTAAACCCTATAAGCCTAAGCCCTAAATAAGCCCTAAGCCCTGCTGAACCCTAAGCCCCAGACTCGAAAGAGGCATGAAACAAACGGGCCCTGCAACCCCGAAAGCCTAAACCTCAAACAACTGCAAACTCTGAAACCCTTACCCTTAGCATCAAAATATCCCAAAAGCCTTATCTCATACATTACAGAGCCCTGAACAACAAAAAGCATTAAACGAGCCAACAGCAGTATCCGGCATTAGTCTCCACACTGGCAGCTAGAATTAAGCGAAACACTGACCATAAGAAACGCCGAAGAATGAAACTAATCAAATTGTTAAAATACAACAGAAACCATAAACGTATCAATGAACAGATGTGGATAATGAGTACAATGCAACGTTGTAATAGTAATAGCAACAAATAATACGGGTAGTTTTCTATATTTGGGTTCCTTTTAGAGTCCTTTTTATAAGGGTGCCGTACTATATTGGGGACCTAAACATGAACCCTACTTTAGAGAACTACCCATACACAGACAGCAACCCGCCAAAATCCTAAACCCGGAAACGGCACAGGGCACCCTGGACCGCTTCGTCGGCCGCCTTTCTGCTGCAGGGGGCCCGAGAAGAGCGCTTGATGACTCCTGGGGCTTACAGTAGGTGTTAGGGGTTTAGGCGGTTTAGGGTGTATAGGGGTTTAGATTTAGGGGTTTAGGGGTTCAGGGTTTAGGGGTTTAGGCGGTTTAGGGTTTATAGGGGTTTAGGGGTTTAGGGGTTTAGGGTTTAGGGGTTTAGGGTTTAGGTGTTTAGGGGTTTAGGCTTCGGCAGCTCCGAATAGCTGGGCTATGAAAAATACCCACCCGCCGAAAGAATCCCCAACATCAGAATGAAGCTTTCAGCTTTCTTCTCAACTTTTGTGGTGAGACCCATGAGTCTTTAGAGACTACTGTCAAGCTACTCTCACCTAGGGCCAGAGACCCGAACCCTAAACTCGAGGGCCAACCCAAGGCCCGAAACCCTCAAGGCCAGCTCAGAACCCTAGACCGTAAACCCCTAAGGATTGCCAAACCCTGAAGCCACCATTTGACTACAGTGGCAGGCCTTAGACCACCGTAAACTCTAGAGCCAGCCCAGAGCCTTGAACCATAAACCGTGAACCTTGACCAAGGCCAACCCCAAACCGTGAACCCTGACCAAAGCCACGAAATATGACCCAAAGCCACAAAATATGACCCAAAGCCACGAATATGACCCAAAGCCTACGAAATATGATCCAATGCCACGAAGAATACAACGTTTAAAATACAATAGGTAGGGAGGTTTATGGGTGGGTTAAACTCCTTAACAAGTGACGCTGCGGGGCGAAAAGCCTCCGTCGCGAATCAAACGGGTGCAGGTTTAGGGTTATAGGGAACTAGGGATTTAGGGTTGGGGGTGCGGATTTAGATAGGCTGTAGAGGATTGGGGGTTAAGGGTTTTGGGGGTTTCGGGTTTGGGGTTGCGCAAGAGATCAAAACACGGCCCCAAGGAAGACGAGGGGCCTCCTCTTCACTCGCCACGGCTTCCCGCTGAGGCCCCATGTCGGGCTGCTATGTGTCTGTTTTTTTACGGTTGGGGGTCTAGGGTCTTTCTAGGGTAAGGGTTCAGACCTGCGAAAGTTTATTTGGTTGAGGGCTTTGGAGAAGGGGGAGCCATCATCATCAGCAATCGTCGTCGTCGTCATCATCATCTCGTCGTCATCGCCATCACAATCATCACCATCACCACCATCAGCACTTGCAACATTCAGCGGTGCGAGGCTCAGTAGGCCTTGTGAAGAGCCAGGTCGGTCCTTGCTTCTGTGGTGTGGTGCTGTTGGGTGAAGGAGTTCAAGCCCTGCACACCCTCGCTGGCGGAGTTGATCCCCGGAACTCCGAAAGCCATCCGACCTACAGTAGAACGCTGTCATGAGCCAGACTCTAAAAGCCTAACCCCCAAACCCTAACCCCTAAACCGCCAGCCAGCAATTTGTAAGCCGGGAAGTTGGCGGAGATAAGAGTTCGAACCAACACCGCCCCTGAAGCAGGCCACATTATGCCCTCGACTCCCACAACCCGTGCTCCCCGAAGGCCCGAACGCCTTGCATAATACTCACGAACACTGCAAGTCCTTACCCCTTACCAAAACCTGCGACCAGTCTACACCTTGACGTATTGATACGACCTGGCGCATAAATCATTACCAATAGGATACTAATTCTAAGGTTCATTATTACAAGTATATTTTTATTGTATTTATGCTATACTACACTATACCATATTCTACCGTACTATACCCCAAAAAGACCCTTACATCTCTCAACCTCCGAAACCTACGGGGCAGGTGCAGGAGGCACAGCCAGATCTCCGAGCCGCGATGGGCTACGGAACCCATCAGCTTGAAGTGAAGGCCTATATTCGGCTTAGGGTGCAGGGTTTAGGGATTCTGCAGAGGATGAGGTCATACGAGCGACAAGAGTCGTGGTGGAGTGTTCCTTCCTCTCTGATGACCATCACTCTAGAAATGGCTCTTGCCATTTCCTGCATTCTTCGCGGCAGCGCTATGTTCCTCATGATCTTTGCAATCGTCGCTGTAGAGAATGTCAGCATTCGGAGAGATCGGGAAATTCACTGCCTCGAGGGGCTTGTAGAATCGACAAGACAACCAGCAATGCTGGTAGAGAAATATCAGGAACAGCACCATCAATAGGAATCACCAAGAACGCAAGTGCTAAGACCGATAATGCTGATCACGGCTTTTTCTATTGTGCTAACCATGCTTGCTACTCTGTGCTACTACTGCATCATTCTGTTCCACTTCAGAATCTCACTGGTTTTGGGGATTTGCTGGGCAGCCTGAGCCCGTGATTTTTGAGGGCTTGGGTGACGTGACGTGACGTAGGGTGTAGGATAAGATCTCCACAGCCTGGAGCTCGAAATCCTCAGAAGTTATGGAAACCCACTGAACCCCACGCAGTTTCAGAGTTTAGGGTTTGGGATACGTACACCCGAAACTTGATATCCGTAGGCTGAACTCCCCAGAGTTCAAAGAGAGTGTAGACGGCGCAGGCGGAGGGCGGCGGGCCTCCCGACTTCCAGGCTCACTCCGCAAGACACTTCTAGCAACGCCTTATACCTAGGGGCTGAGTTATCGTCCTACTATAATTCAAAAGGTTAACCTTTTTTGGGCTAGGGTACTCAGCCCCTAAGTATATCTTTGCTCCAAGTGACAAGTATCGTCTTCACAACGGCAGGAACTGCAACTGCCTTGACGAACCTCCACCCCTAAACCCCAAATCCCTAATCCCCTGAACTTCGAAATAGTACGGCCTGCCTACGGTTCAGCGGGCCGGCAACACCACCTGTTGCTGATATTTGTTTACTCCGCCAGCATTGCTCCCACTGCTTTGTTTGCGATTTCCCAGGCACACCCCGAAGTTTTGAGCCCTAATAATTCCCTATTTTTACTCACCCTAAGTCATGGAAGGCCAAAAAAAACCGGACCCAAAGCCGTTGAACTCGTGTTCAGCCTCGAGCGCGAAGGCAGCGTCGTCCTCGGAGACTCCTCCTCGTGCAAAGAAACACGTGGAGAAGGCCCCTGCAGAGTCATTGAGTTGAAAAATCTAACGGGACCCTCCTTGTAATTACCCTCAAATAAGAGTATATGACATGGTACCAAATAATATGGGCATTTAGGGTCTAATGGAGGGTCGAGGAGGGTCCAGGTAGCAGGAAATCATTCTTTTCATATTGGGATTTTCGAGGTGTTGCGGCGATCGAACTCGATGATGTCGACCTTCCGAAAGAGATCGGGGGGGTTGGTCTTAAGGGTCTTTCGAAGCAGGAGCCGAGGGGAATGTGCTGAATCCCAACCAAAGGGAACTTGAGAGGACCGGGTATTCCCGAAAGGAGCTGTCGGACGCCAAGGATCCCAACAATTAGGCAGTTGGGTTTAGGATAGAGTAGATAATATAGGGGCCGTAATAATTCGAATAGGGCTTGGGGGTCTATTATACTATCATCGTAATAAGGAGCCCCCACAAGAGTATAGGTAATTACTTAGGCTCCTACATTATTCGTTATGTACTTGGACCCCTCGGGTTGTGCTGCGAGTCTCGTAGGACCCCCACGACTGCAGCGGCGTGGCCTTGTGCAAAAGCCAGGTGGTGGAGCAGCTCGGCTTAGTGTAGGGTTTGGGTTTCTACAAGGGGTGCAGGCGCATATCGCGTTGTGTTACGGTGCATTCTTAACTAACAGTGTATGAGACCGAGGTTTTGGCACGATTGTCAGAAAAAGCAGGGTTGTAGCGCCTACCGGAAACTATTGGAAGTTGGACAGGACTTCGCTCAGCCATTAGACATTCAGCATTTTCATCATCATCGCCATGACCATATCGTTGTGCACTATGGTGTGCAAAGTGGCAAAATCGCTGCAAGTATACCAGTGGTTTGGGCATGTTCGCACAAGGCATGAAAGCTTGTGTCAGTGCATGTCAGTGTGTCTTGTGCCACAAATGTCATACATCCTCCTGCAGTATTTTGTATAAATTGGCCAAGAGAGTGGCGAAACGCTGCAAATACCAGCGATTTGGGCATGCACGCACAAAGACAGAACACTTGTGACAGTGCGTCAACGCCGAACATCCTTCTGCAGCATGTTGTGTAACGTGGCAAACACGCCGTAAATGCAAGTCGTTCGGGCTTGGTCGCCGACAGAAACGACGTCATTCAATATCCCCCCACCCCAACCCCAACCCCATGGACTCATCCGAAATGTCCTGAGAATTAAAAAAACGCAGGAAAGTAAGACGGCGCCCTCTGCGCCCGCCACCCACTATGAAGGGTTACTTTGAAGGGCCACTCTATCAAGTGCTATCTCAGGATTTAGTGCTGGTCTGTGCTCTTATTTGAAGAATCTCGGATAGTGCTAAAGGCATTCCTGGCATCAGCACAATGTGCAGCGAAGTGCAAACGCAGGCCAAGCAGAAGGATTGAAGTCATATAAGGGCCTTAATAATTATCTAGACTCTTTTGGGGGTTCCTTCTTATAATTTTAGTATAATGGGCCCCAAAACCCTATTCTAATTATTAAGGCCCCTACATAAGGGGCTCATGCCGTGCAGCATCCTTGCATTTCCATGCAAGCATAACATTGAGCTTGAACCCTAGTCGATGTCAACATGTAAATCGTTCATGCTCTCTTTGTCGTGGCCTGCTTGGAGGTTCATGGGTAGTTATAAGTGGAGTTATAAGTAAGCTAACTATAATTATAACCCATATTAGGGGACTTATAACCCTACTTATAACTACCCATGAACCTCCAAGTGGGGTCGCTGAAGGTATCACGATGCCACGGGCTCAGCTCCGACTGTCTGCATCGGGTGACCTGCGAGTGCCGCGGCATGTGACGTCTTGCTATATGGGTGGTTGTCAAAATTATGGTCCCTTTTTGGGTCCCTATTATAATACGGCACCTATTATTTAGGGTACCCCAAAGGGGACCATAATTTTGACAATTACTCCTTTGTTGACTCGTGCCGTGTCCAAGGATTCGACGTGGTGGGGCACCGTGCTGGGCTTCACTGCTCAGGCGGACGGGCTGGGATGTGGGACTTTGACTGGTCGCTGCACACAGTATCACGGCGGCTGGGAACAAGTTCAGTGGCTTTGTTGCTCCGGGTTCAGCTGGAGTTGCAATCGTGATTACAGAATCCTGGATGCACAGAGAGCCTTTCATTCTTCCCGTTGCAGTTGACCCGTGTGCTTCATGGTGCCACTCAGACTTGGAAATGACAGCTGCTGAATTAATGGTACCTGTGCAGTCTCCGACCTTACTGCGACTTAACAATGATTTTGATTAGCATGAGTTAAAAGCAGACAACAGTAGCACCCCGGCTTGAACGAGTCAGATCAACTGGTCTCTGGTACGGACGTGGTCTCTGTCTGTCCCCGTGCGGATTCCATACTTTCAAGGGTTTGATGGGGCATGACGCTTCATTCCCGGAGACAAAATGATCGTGAGTCGGATGAAGTTTACAGTGGGTTCGTCTTTCTGACACGTGCCTGCGGCAAGCATGAAGAAAGATTCTACCTGATGTGCAAGGACGTTGCCGAACAGTTTTTTTAGGTAGATGCTTTGAGGCAACATGATGACAGCATGAATTAGTCTTTCGCACCGACGTGGCCTGTGGTTGTCACGGTGTGGATTCGATCCTTTCAACGATCTGATGGGGCGTCGCTTGCGGACTGGACATCGGTTTGCGGCGGACTGGATGTCAGTCTGCACGGGACAGGATGAAGGATAAAATCGATTAGTCTTTCTGACGCGTGCCTGCGGGACGCATGAAGACAGAATTTACCTGATGTGCCTGGACATTGGTGAACAGTATCTGTAGTTGGTCAAATGCTTTGAGGCAACATGATGACAGCATGAATTAGTCTTTCGCACCGACGTGGCCTGTGGTTGTCACGGTGTGGATTCGATCCTTTCAACGATCTGANNGGACAGGATGAAGGATAAAATCGATTAGTCTTTCTGACGCGTGCCTGCGGGACGCATGTAGACAGAATTTACCTGATGTGGCTGGACATTGGTGAACAGTGTCTGTAGTTGGTCAAATGCTTTGAGGCAACATGATGACAGCATGAATTAGTCTTTCGCACCGACGTGGCCTGTGTTTGTCACGGTGTGGATTCTATCCTTTCAACGATCTGATGGAGTGTGGAGCGAGAAGCATGGAATCTCATTATGGATGGTGGCTTCGTGCGGGTCAGGGGAGCAGTCAGTCTGCTCCGGATGAACCCTTTCCGTCGCCTGCCTTTTTTTGGCGCAAGAACAACCGGGCTGAATGCGTGGCAGTGGTTCAATGCTGGTTGCAGAAATCAGATTTGTCTTTCGTGTTGGTGCTGGGCCTTGCTCCGGAGCTTGGATTTCATGATGTCCAAGCCTCCGATGCCTCGCGCAATTGAATGTTCATGGTTTAGGCTGCGGGGGTTTCGGTGCAGAAGTACCTGCTATCGATAGCATCCCCGTTGGCTTCGACTCTGCTGCGGAAGCATACTAGGATACTAGGAATCCTTGCAAAATGCTTGGTACAGTAGGCTTTTATGCACGTGCAAATGCTCATTAAACCCTCCGTTATACAACCCCCCCCCCAAAAAAAAAACACGATCATAGAACCTTCAGCAGCTCCATATATAACCTACACCCTGAACCCTAAACCCATATAAGGAACCCTCAGAGATCCCTTAAAGGAACCCTCAGAGATCCCTTAAAGGAACCCTCAAAGATCCCTTAAAGAGCTCCCCCATAAATAATAAGGCTCCTCGGAAGCGCTGATAAACCCAGAGAGCCCAATACCCCGTAAATACGGAATATGCCTTAAATTATAGGGGCCTTAATATGATGATTTACTTAAGTTATAGGGCCTTAACAATATCATGATTTAAGGTATATTCCTTAATTAAGGGGTATTGGGCTCTCTGATAAAAGCCCAGAGGATGGCATCCCGGTGGTCCGGTGGCATCACGGCCCACGAGCCGGCCGCCGGACCTACGTGGGCGGACGGCGGCGACCTGAGAGACCTCACTTCTTTCAACCAAGTAGACAAGCGCAGAGAGAGAGAGAGAGATACATATACAATCATACACACACATATATATATATATATACACGCGCATATATAGATATACACAGGCATACATACATGCATGCATACACATATAGTTGCATACGTGCATATTCTCAACCTTGTGTGTGCATTAGAGATGAGGAGGCAGCGATTGAAAGCGGTTCTGCTTATGATGCTGCTGCTGGTGCGGCTATTGCTGTTTCTGCCACTGCTACGATGGCTTGTGTGCCGCTACTTTGCATGGAATTTAAGGGGTCCGGGAAAACACGGACTTGGGCTCCGGCTGCAGGGCCAGACAGCAGTGCATGAACATACCGAATCATATCACCGCCATGCCGCCGTGTCGCAGAAGCATTCCCACACTGCCATGTCCAAAGAAGTTCACTTCGCCGGTCGTAAGGTCTACAGTAGCAATAGGTCCTCGGCTAGGAAGCATCGGAGCACGTGAGAGAGCCCGTCAAGACTCTTCATTGCTAAGGAAAGCTATAACATGCAGATGTAGGACGAGGACGAAGCAAAAATGAGCTGTTCAGAACTCTTCCGGGAACAACATGAGAAGATCGCTGGCCAAACAATCCATGTTGGCAACAGGAGCGTAGGGGACCTAGGCAAAACTGGTGGTTCTACATGTCTGCGAAGCGTACATGTCAGACCCCGTGTTGCTTATGCCAATGCAAATAGGCAACACCATTGCATACAGTCAGCCGACTGCCAAAGGAGACCATGGAGGCTTCCTGAGTCGTTAGATCCAGCAGCAACCCAAAGTAAAAGCAAGCTTATCCTCAACTAGCGAAGACACCGGATGCATAGGATGCAAGCAACATACCCTTTTTTTTGGGACCGTTGAGGGCTTATGGTTCAGGGCTAGGACGAAGAGTAGGGTTTCCGGGCTTCGGGTTTAGGGCCGCGAAGCTGGATGAGGTTCCTGCGCATCGTTGCCGAAAACGGTGGATACGTTGCCGCAGAGCCCCTCGCATCACCTGGCCAGGCTCCATGGTTCTTTGCACCTTTTAGGATTTAGGGGTTAGGGTTTAGGGTTTTGGGAGTTTCAGAGAAGGAAGCCCCACAATTATATCATAGACTCCACATACCACGATGCTTCAAACTTGGTCCCCTCACTGAGGGACTCCAACTTTCCGACCCCCTGTAGCATCGAGGTTCCGGTGATGGTTCGTTTGGTCCCGCATTAGTGTTCGGGTCGCTTCACCAGTGGTGCTCCAACGTGCCGCGGCGCACGCACGCTCCCGGCCTTCTCTGTTAGGTCATGTTAGATCCCATACGGTTTTGGGTTTAGGGTTTTGCTTCGGGTCTGATTTCACTACAGGACTCGGACCAAGAATGCCAAAATATCTCAAAGGAAGTCTGCGAGCATCACGAGCTTCATGTCGTCATCGTGGAATGCTGTTTAGGGTTCGGGTTTAGAGTTTATGACTCATGGCTCTTAACTGACAATCGTACCATTCGTCACAACAGTCGCCAGACCTGCATGATTTACAGTCAGAGTCATAGCGAGGGGTGGCTGCAAAAACAATACCCTAGGT